TCAACAAAATTTAATGGTAAATAAAAACATGTAAATGCTAAATTAATATTTAACGTTGGACCAGAATGTGTAAGACATAATGCTTGATGAAATCCACTAGCCATACCACGTCCATCATCTTAAATTAAATTTTCTTAAAATAAATACAAAATGTTAATATAAACAAAAAAAAAACTTACCAAGATCAATAAGTTGTTGACGTCGACTATAGAAATTATTTCGTATACAAACAAGATCATTACGAATACTTTGTTTAAATAATGTTTCAATAACTCGTATAGGATCTCTTGGTTTTATTTCAGTTCGTCCATTAATAAAATCAAATATATCACGAATTTTTTCTTGTCGAACAAGATTCAATACTTTAAATTCAAATATTTTATTTTCATTATTTATTTTTATTTGAACACGAATTGGTTTTGTAAAATCTGTTAATAATTCTCTTGTATATAAATTTTTACCTTCGTCATACCTAATATCATATTAATAAAACAACTTGTTTCTAATTTTAATTTGAAAAATAAAAATAAACAAGAAAAACTTACCAAACAATAGGAAAATTTTTTTCTTTCTTAGCAAGTTCTTTTAATGTTTGCCAACGTTCATCTTTTCGTGCTGAACATAAATTTCCATCTCGACGAATCATTGAAATTTCAATATCATATTGATTAATGATTGCATCATCAATTGATACACGAAAATGATTCGTATATATTTGAATGGATTTACCTACTTTACCATATTCATCAGGACGATGAATTGGTTTTAGTACAGCTGTATCAGGAACAGCTGAATATAAAATTCGACGTCGATATGATGGACGAGTTGTTTGAGAACGTGCTCCACTTATTGATTCAGATCCCATTGAAAGTTTACTCATTGATTCTGTTACTGTTGGATATTCACTTTGAGAACGTTCAGATACTGTTGTAGTACTTGTAGCTGGATTATTCCAGACTGATTTTGGAACAGTTGAAGCTGTTGCTCGAGCTTAATGAAAAATAATAAAGAAAAATTATAAATTTATTATTAAATTAATCTTACAGGAACGTTTGGACATGTTGTTTAATTATTAATATCAAAGGTACGGGTAGAAAATAATTAATTTCTAATAAAAAAATATTTTATTAAAATAAGTTTAATTTTCTTTTGTACATCTGTTAAAAAAAAAATCTTCAGCTTTATATACTCAACAAATACATCATTTTTCTCACAGTAAAAATTTTTCCATGCTGACCAAAATCTCCACTACATACATGAAGTAAATAATACCATACTGGGAAAAAAGAAAGTAAATATTTTGAAGGTAAATAAAGTAATCGAACAGAACAGAACAAAACAAAAATATACATACTCACATGTTAAAGATCATAGTTTTCAAATGACAAACAAAAAAAAAACAACAACAATTTTACTTTAAAATAAGACTATACTTTAGTATTAAGTTGACATTATGATTTATATTAGATAGATAAAATAACCGAATAAAAGATATTTTTTGTATACTTAATAACACATGCTATCAGCTTAAGAAAAAATAAAAAACCCCAAAATTATACGAGCCCAGCATTCTTGCACGTACTGATAAACAAGTTAGGTATTTAAACATATTCTTATCAATCGACCCTTGATATCATTCAATAAAATTATTTGACTAAGTTTTTACATTGTTTAGAATTCAACGAGGTTACAAATAATTAATATTATATTAAAAACAATATGACAATAAACAAAAAGAAAACGTACAATATTTATTAAAATAAACAGATGATAAAATAGGTTGTCTATCTCTTTTCTTTTCTTTTAAAAAGATATTTATTAGTTTAAATAAAATGAGTTGGTTTAAAAGCATTAAATGGACATTGATCAACTGATGATGGTAATTTATTAATTATTGATGGCATTGATTTTCTTCCATCATTTATCTCATACATTGTTGGATGATAATCAGATAACATATCATTACCAGCAGTTTCATTTTTTGATTCTAATATAAGAGTATGTTCAATATATGCGTCTGTAGCTCCATTTAACCAATAGGTTTGCATTTCACCTTTACCCTTAATTTATAAAAAAAAAAACAAATAAATAATTTTCAAATATAATATTAAATAGAAAAAAACCTTCATTTGAATTTTTCCTCGAGTACTTGTTTCAAAATAAGAAGAATCTTTTAATAATTGCCAAGATGCTGCACTCAAATGAATACGACCCACCTTTAATTATATTAATTATAGTATAAATTTCATAAAAATAAAATTCTTACATCACTTGTTGTTGTCACTCGACTTGCCTATTAAAATATATAAAAAAATCTCGAATTCTTTTTTTTTTTTTTTAATAAATATATGATAAAAACCGTATTAACAGTATCACCAAAAAGACAATATTGATAATTTTTATGTCCAACTATTCCTCCAACAGCTGGACCTGAATGAAAACCAATTTTAGTTTTAAATGGTATTTTGCTTATTTTATTAATTAATTTTTTTGATTGTTTTAAAATTTCAAGAGCAAGACCAGCAACAATTTCAGCTTGATTTAAACCTAATGGATTTTTTACAGTTGTCATTCCTTCTTCTAAACTATCATCACCTATTGAACTTCTTGCACTTGATCCAGACTTAAATTAAATTAAAATAAATTAAATTCTATAAGAAAATACAAAATCTATACCATATTTGATACTCGTCTTTGTTGAGGTCGTTCTTGAATACCTGATACAATCATATAAGATGAATCAGCTTTTGTTTCAACTTTAAAAACATCATATTTATCTGAACATTGATCAAAAACAATAACCATTTGATTAATAGATTGAACTATTTCTGTTGGAGTTAATTTTTGTATAACATCTTTAAAATCTAATGTATAACAAAATAATACAGTTATTAATTTATGTGACTAAAATTTAAAAAACAAAAAACAAAAAAAATATTAATTAAAAAATGAAATTTTTTTATATATAAAAACTTCGCAAATTGAATTGGCTACAACTCCTTGTTGTAACATTTGTGCTATATGACGTGGCATCATTGAATAAAGAAGACGTTTTCCTTTTCGACGCCATTCTTGTAACTCAACTTTAGTTGATTGTAATTGTGAAATCCAAGCATGTTGCTTAAATTAATTTAATTCGTTTGTTTTTTTTAAATCAAAGAAAATCTCATCATACTTTATCAATAGCTGCTTGTAATTGTCTTGCATGTTGCATTCCAGCTATGAGAATTTCACTACTTCCATCATAAAAATTTAAATCATGAAGTGTTAATCCAATATTCATCATTTCTTCAGTTGTTGATAATCTATTTTTTTTTTTATTCAATTAATTATTTGAATAAGAAAAGAATAAAAAAAGACATACACAGGATGACATAAGAAAACAATCATATTCCAACTCGATATCCATTTCATTTGTCCTTTTAAACGAATAGATGAACTTCCTGTTGGTCCAACTGTTGTTTTAGATCTTTGAATTATTAAATTTTCATTTGATTTATTTCCTTTATCAGATCGAAGTGGTATTCGACTTTCCATTAAAAATACAATATGTCGACCATAACTAAGTACCTTTTAATAGAAATATATTAACACAAAAACAAAAAATAAATATAAATAATTAATATTACTTTATTCCATTCTAATATAATATCTGGTCGAATAAGTCGAAAAATTTCTTCAAGATATCGACCATTTAAAACAGTATCAACAGGAAAAAGACTTTTAATTGATTTTCCCATATGAAATATACGCATACTTGGATCAATTAAAAGACAAAATGGAAAAACTTTAAAAAATGTTTCACTTGTTATATCTGGTAAATTTGGATTATTAAAAAGACGTTGTGAAGTTTCTTTTACAGCTGAATTATTAAAATCAACTCGAAATATAATAAGAGTACCTAAAAATAAGTTTTTTTTTATATTAAAAAACAAAATCTTAAATAATTACATTCATTTGTTGATATATCATCTTGAATTCTAACATAAATATCTTCATTATAAAATCTAGATGCACATTCTCTCAATTGACCAACAATATATCGTTGAAAACCTCGACGACGTGATCTTTAATTTCAGTTTTTTTCTTTTTTTTAAATATTAAAAAACAAAAAAAAAATCTTTTACTTATATTGAAGAAAAGCTCCATGTTCATCTTCTTCAAGTACATGAAATAATGGAGATCTCATTTGTGGAAAACTAAATTTTGTTGAATCATGAAGTTGATCTATTGAATGAAGAAAATCTCTAAAATGTCTTCCAGCAACACGTAAAATTTTATCATAACCATAATTTGTAAAAAATCGAACAAAACATTCACCAAAAAATTGCATATAATATTCTGGTGTACCTTCATGAAGAATATCAGCAAGACCTTATTCAAAAAAAAAAAATTATTTTAAAAAAAAAGAAAAGAAAATATTCTTTTACATTCTGCTATTTTGTCAATTAAATTATCTTCATAACGACCAAGTGTTGCAAATGATTCATGTTCAAAATTAAGTTCTTGTACAATTTTTTTCCATATATGATTTCCATAACTAAGACATATTCCATCTCGTGCACTTTCCAATAATATACCATAAAGCATTTTTAAATGAAATAAATGATTATTCAAACAAACAAAAAATAATACTTTTGTTTTTTTTTTGAATAATACCTAAACAGATACTATTGAATGTCAAAAAAGAAAAGGAGAAAGTGGAAGAAGATAATCTTTCCAAATGAATAATTTCTTATAAAAAAAAAAAAAAATAGCATCATGTGTTCTTTCATGTAAAGATAAGAGAAAATCTTCAAAATAAATTTTTTATCGTTCGTTTTCTTCGAATAAAAAAAAGAAAAGAGCACGTTCATCATTGTTTTTTTTTTGTCACAGAATCCATCTTCTATTAATATGAAATTCTATTCTATTTAGGATATTATTTAAAAGATTTAATTTCTTTATTAATGAAACAGAAAAAGAAAAGTTTTTGTTTAAAAAAAAAACGATAAGAGTTATTAAATCTGTTTGTCACTTCCATCACCAATGACAGTCATACATTTTGTTAAAGTTTTTTTTGTTGTAATTGTTATTTGTTTTTCATCATTTTTAATAAAATCATGAAGATTTTCTAATTCAACTGTACGATGTAAAGGTGCAAAACTTGTTGGATTTGTTGAACATGATGTTAAATCAATAAGTTCATTCGAATGTTGAACTGATGTTGATGATAGAGTTTGGGATGATGATGTTGATGACATAACACGCTATGTCGAAATAGAATAAATAACAAGCAAATAAGAATAGAATATTTCTTTTTGGCCCTGCTTTTTTTTTTGTGCTTCGCTAATCTAAAGGAAAACATTTTTTTTTTTTTTCTTCTATGTCACAATAGGGATTCCTCTCTTTTTTTTTCTAACTATTATAAATACAATCAACTCAATTTGACATGTCTGAACATCAAACGTTTACAAAGATATTTTAAATAACTATTATTATTTTAAATAATCAACTTAATTAAAACATTAAAAAGAAAATTCATTTTAATATAATTACATTTTTGAACAAAATATTGTGTTTTATGGTATAAGGACATACCGGAAAGAAAAATAGGGCATATCTTTATCATAGATAATAACGAATATAGAACGGAAAGAGAAAACAGGAAGAGCACATTTACAAAAGAAGCTCTTTCATTCAAAGAACAAAGTAAAGATATTTTCAAGACATTCATCATAAAATAAAAGATTTCCGTTCATCAATCTATGCTCATCTTATCAATGAGAATAACGAAGCAATGTCACTAACGTATTATTTTTCATATGGAATTTTTTTCTTCTAGCTCAAATACAAACTCATCAACAAAAGAATGCCATTTCCCTTTATGATCTATTATTGGTTTTTTTTTTATATTATCATTACTATTTTCTGAAATGTTTCTTTCAAGAAAAATCTTTATTTCACATTAGACAAGAGGATTTTTCTCAAGTATTTCTTTTTGATAAAATTGTATAATTATTGGAGATTATTTATTTATCTAAATCAGTTAAAGATTTTTGTTCAATTTCAATAAAGAAGAAAAAAAGAAATATAATATTTACAAGATTTCTTTTTTTTTATTGTGAAATAAAATAAAATAATAAAAATTCAATCATTATATTATTGACTATCGAGGTCAATTCGATTTGCACTTTTATAAAACCAAGTCAATCAGTTTAGTTCGTCACGATTCTGAAAAAAAATTCTATTTTTAACCTCTATATGAATGTCTACACATAGATCTATCTTGGTTATCTCATCTAATGAAAATGTCTCAAAATTTACATTACTCGATCTAGATAGAAATGAATAGTTTCTAAACAAACTAGGAAAGGTTCCAAAATTTCATTGGAAAACTAAACATAAATATTTCTTAATGATAATTCAAGCGATTTTTATATTTTTTTTTTAATCAGATAATAATAACTTTATATTCATAGGTTTATTCGGCATAGTTAGTCTGTATCTATTCATGCACATTAATATAATGAATAGAAATAATTTAATGATTAGCTTGATTTGAATTATCTTAAAATAAATTACTAATCGAATTTCCTAAAGAAAGTATTAGAAATAGTATGAATAATTTTTATGTTGACATAAGAAAATCATATTCGAAAGTATTTTTATGAACAAAAAAATCAATAGATTTATGTGTTTTGAATATCAAATTCCGAAAAAAAAAGATATTTATTATTCTAACATAGAATATACACAAGAGAATAAATTCTTCATTAGTTTTTATTCGAACATAACTAAATAAATGTTAAAAATAAAATAATAAGATCAATTGTTTATTCATATCTTTTTTTTTTTCGATTTATTTTTGTTATTTTTTTAAAAAATCTGAATAATATTAAGATAGAAAATAAATTTATAAATGAATTTTAAATATATTGATGTAAATCTTTCAAATGATATATTATTTTGAATAAAAACATCTAAACATGAAAATGTTAGGAATCAATAATTATTTAAGTTTCATTCGATAACATCTTCAGTAGAATACTATACTCAAGTAACAGATTTCAAATGGATAAAATATCTGAAAAACATTGCATGACGAATGATATAGAAATAACAATGGTTCTATTTTGAATTATTTAATACTCAGTTTTTATTTCGATAATTCGAGAAAAAGCTTTAAATAAATAAAAAGTAAATTGAATAAACAATGAATTAGATTATTTGATATCATCAATTAAATATTCCTAAGAAACTTGAAGAATTAATAGAAATTAGTGTAGAAAATAAATAGGTCATAGTTTTTTTCTATTAATTAAATTAATATAGGAATGTTCTTGGTCTTGTTTTTTTTTTTTTTCTTTTTTTATTGATCAATTGTAAAAAGATGTCTCCTGACATTTTCATGTTTACATTTTAATTATTAGAAGAGAAAATATTATTCGATAGATAATGTCATTTGAAAGATTGACACCGATACGTAAAACTCATTTATAAAACATTCGATTAAGATTTACTTTCTGTCCAACATATTAATTAATTTTATTGTGTTTTAAGACTTATGAAACATTCTATATACCTTCGTTTTTTTTTCTAAGATTTTCAATATAGTCGACTTATTTATTTCAATTAGGAGTAGACATGTATAGGACCAAGATTTTTTGGTCTCGAACCAGTTCTGATATTGTTTTTCATGATTCTGATCATAGTCTGGATAAATCGAATCTGGCATCTGGTAGTTTTTGTTTAGTGACCCAGGCCTAAAAGAAACATTCCAAATTCCTTGATATATGGGATCTAAAAAACTGCTTCAATACTCATTTTTTTTATTCATGTTCCCTAGACTAAAAGGCTAGGGTCTAGAAACTGTAATTCATCTGTGTCTGTTTGTAAAAAGGGCGTGGCACAAATGAACATTTTTATGGCACATATTACTATTTCTGTGGCATAAATGATCGTTGCTATGACCACTATAGCTGTTTCTGTGGGACAAACGAGGGTGGGTACAACACAAATGCCCATTTATATAACACGAACAACCATATCTATGGTAAGATTGTATATGATTATAGTATGTATGATCATCTCTATCAGAGATGAGCAAAGTCGCACCGCGCTTCCCCGCGCCGTTGCTCACGCCTACGCTACACTAGTCTGAGCTTTGATGAGCACATGCTTAGAGCATCCCGGTATTCGGTGGTGTTTGAGAAACTGATTGGTAGAGCAAAAAGAAAGAGAGATGTGCGTAGCGCCTAGGCGCGAGCAGTGGCGCGGGAAGGCGCGGTGCGATTTTGCTCATCTCTGATCTCTATAACACAAATGATCATTGTATATTATTGAAAAACTAACTTTGCCACAGGCCTCATCGTTACATTTTAAGTCATCTCTTCCATTTTCTATTATCTTCCTTAGAGTACAGATATACTTAGGTTTGCTTATAAATTTAGCACGATGCCGTCAGTCTAGGGTCAAGTGTATCGATTCTCGATGCACGCTAATTGTAGTTAATGATTATTATTTTTTTGGGTTATCTTTCTTTAATTATGTTCTCATTGATATGATTTAGAATGTTTAGTTTCAGTTGGAATAACATATTCTTATAGTTTCGGTCCTAATAACCGATCTATTTAAATTAGAACGAAGGTTGAATAAAGTTTTAACAATGTAGTTATATAAAATGTAAGTTGTTAGATAGTGACATCTTTTTCTATAGAATGTAATTGATTAAATATAACGACACGTTTTATCAGTAGAATAATGTCTTTTTCATGTGGAAGGGAAGTTTTATTTGTATTGTAAAAGAACTTTCGTTTGTTGTTCGATTATAAAATCAAAAGAATTAAAACAAACAAAGAATGGAAGAATCATTTTGGTCATCATTTGAAACAATTGTATCAAATTTATTATCACCTCATTGTTATGATCAATTAGTATTAAAACAACATTTTTTTGATTTTACTTGCAATAAAATGTTATTAAGTAAAATGCTTGGTTATGCTATATTAATTGGTTCATTACTTGTTAAATTTCCTCAAATAGTTAAAATATATTGGAATAAATCAGGTGTTGGTGTTAGTGTTTTAGCTGAAACAATTATGTTAGCAGCTATATTTGGATCAATGGCTTATGGTTATACATCAGAATTTCCAATATCAGCTTATGGAGATTCTTATTTTTTATTTATTCAAACAATATTGGTTATTTTATTGGTACTTTATTATAAACGAAAATATACAATCGCTATTGTTTATTTAGGTTTGTTTGTTTTTTGTCTCAATAGGGATATAACGATTATATCAAATTGATCATTTTAAGATTTTAATAATTATTTTAGCTTGAAATATAACGAATGAGGATAAATTTTAATGTAAGATTTAATAGTTAAAAATAAACATGATAAGCAAGTGTGAAAATCGATCTTACTTATCGATAAGGTCTTTTTTTATTATTTCACTTGTAGACATAATTATTCTATTGAAAAATCTTTTTATTATGAATGACGAATGAAAATCGAGGTTAAAGACATCCTGCTGTTAGCAAATCTTTTCTTTTTCAAAAAAAAAACAGACCAAATTTGAAGAGACTTTCGAAAGAATTTTTTTTTTTGATTGGACTATTCTGCTTTTGAAGTTTTGAGAAGACAATATTTTTGTTAATTTGCATTACAATTGAATAAATATTCTTATATAATAATATAAGTACGACAGATGATATGAAATGATTCTCCTTGAATATATTATAAACATCACATATAAATATGTGTTGTTTTTTTTTTTGAATAAACTTTGATTCAATCAGATTTCATTAGAATTAATATCTATCAAAATGAATAGTAATCGAGTTTCAAAATTTTGTTCGAATAAAAAATTGTACACAAATATTTGCTTTTATTTGAAATTTCTCGGAGCTGTATACACTTAATAATGAGAAAGTTCTATGGTTTCTTCTTAAGGTCATTATTAACTTAGAAATAAACTAATGTATTCAATTGAAATATGTTTTGTAACAGTTTTATTATAGAATTGTAAAGAAAGATATCCTCTATGTATTATCAAGTTTTACTCATTTGTGTTGACATTTTCATAGATGGTGCTACTTTTTTATTGTAGGATGATGTCATCTGTATGTAGTAGGAATTTTGTTATTCATAAAGAAAGTCTTTTCTCATTGAATTTTGACTCATTCATGATAATGTTAGTCGATTTTAAGTGATGACAAATCTATAAGAAGAAGAATTTATTTATAAAGTTTTTGTTCTTTGATCATATTCGAATAAGATTTTATTTTCATTTAGTTTTATGTGGATTTGTGACCATTTTAATGTATCAAAAAATACTTCCGGCACAATTTGTTGGTCTATTAGCTGGTTTATCTCTTGCATTAAGTTTAATAAGTCGTCTTTGGCAATCCTATTGCATATATAATGCAAAATCAACTGGAAATCTTTCTGCTATAACAATGTTAATGTTATTTTTTGGTTCACTAGCACGAATATTTACATCAATTGAAGAAACAGGAGATCCAACACTTATATGGACATATATATTAAATTCATTTGCCAATTTTTTATTAATATTTCAATTAGGATATTATTGGTCAGCTCCTAATCCTGATTTAGAACAAACAAAAAAAACTCAATGAATATTTCGTTTTTTTTTTTTTTTGCTTTTTGTCTATTAAAAATACAAAAAAAAAAGAAACATGATTTGGAATTTTTCTTCTTTGATTGTAGATTTTACAAAAAAAATCATGTCCGACGAAGCAACTATTGAAGAGGAATCTGAAGATGAACAACAATTACCTTCATCTAGACCACAAACAAAAGAAGGTCTTCTACCATGGTCATTCATTTTTCAATTTTGTAAATTTTTTGTCTTTTATTTTTTTTTTGATTTAATATTATTTTCAATTGTAATTTAGTGATGAAACAATGGGCAGTTTTTTTATTCTTATCAATAGCAATAGCTGTTTTTCTTTATATAAGTGCACGAAAACGACGCAATAAAAAACAAACTAGTTCAGCAATTCGTCGTGATCATATTCAAGGTGGAAACAAACGTGGCTCAAGAAAGTCACCAAATAAACGAGAATAAAAGTTTTGTTTTTGTTACATGCGTTTACCATTAATTAGTTCATAAATAAAACCAAAATGACTACGCATTAAAATATTTCTTTTATTAATAAACCAATCAAAGATTGATGAAATCAAATATATTTTTGCTAATTTCACAGTGACGATGGAAATTTTCCTGCATATAATAGAATCTATTGATGCCATTCAAATCAGAGATATTAACAAGCTAATCCATGGCCCCGTACACAGATTGGATCTTCGATAGAGTTGCCTGATGCTATTACGGTTCAATTTAATTTGTTAGTTTTTCCAATGGTTTAGTTGTTTTTTGCTATTTCTTTCTATTGTTTATTTTTATGATGTCATCGTTCTAATCATTCATCTACTTGTTTTCAAACATGGGTACATAAATACACTTTGTGTACAGGTGTGACTTTTCTTTTAGACGCAACGAATCAAAAATCTACAGTCATACAAAACCGAGTCTATTGACTGTGACTTTTATTAGTTCGCTTAAGATACAAAATAAGAATTCTAGTTATTATTTGATTTTTTTTTATACATTTAATTTGTGTACATATTGAGAAATAAACGATAATACTCGAATGATTTAAATCTTAGTTTCACAAGTAATTAAAAAACGAATATCTTAACAAAAAAAATATTGTGGTTGTAATTAAATATTTTACTTATTAGATTTGTATTAGTGTACAGATTAGCCTAAAACGAATTAATGATTATTCGATTCGTAAAATATACCAGGAATTGAAGACAAAAAAAAAAAACCTGATAAAATTTTGAAGCAGTCATGTTTTATTCAATGAATCAATCATCGAAATTAATGTTATTGCTTAACACATTTCTTTATGAGTGACATTTATTTCCATCATTTATCAAAATTTATTAGGAGTTATTCTTGTTAACTTCTCTCTATCAATAATGTTGCACAAAAATGTGTAGAACCATAGTTTTTTAGTAACTCTAGTTATAAGCCGACTTGAGCAGATGTACCATATTATGAACGTTCGACAAAATTTTGTTGAGTAATATATCATCAATTTCAACACATTAGAAGATTGCCAGTGTAATGCAAACTTTATAAAAAATAAAATTTAATTTTCGACTATAAGTAAGTCAAAAAATCATTGGTTTTACTGATTTCTATAGCAACAGATCAGAAAAGTTTTGTCAAATGTCTTAGACTGATTAAACGAATGGGGCAGTTAGATTTTCAAAAACATAAACAACAAATATGTTGCTTACAATACTTTGTACTTCTCCGTTATCTCTTCCTCTTGAAAACAACAAATATTGTAAGCAAAATGAATTTCAAATAATAGATACGTCAAGTTTACTAGCTTTTCATATGATTTTAGATTAGACCGTTGTTATTGAATTGTCTTTAGATGTTAGTCTATAGTCAGAGGCTTTTGAAATGATTTTCTTTTTCGAATGAAAGACAATTATAAAATCACATTGTTATGATTAAATTATTTATACAAGTCTTAGTTCGTATAATATAAAATAATCGACATTAAATCGAGCAAGAACTCTCGATGGGGGCTTAGCTCACACGGTAGAGCGCTCGCTTTGCATGCGAGGGGCACCGGGATCGATGCCCGGAGTCTCCATTTTTAACTTTTATTCTTATTTAACAAATATAAATATTTATTTTAAAGATCAGTCAGCAGCTTGTCGACATTTATATATTGTAGTTCTTAAAATAAATTGTTTTCGAGAAAGTTCTACAGATGGAGGAACTATAATAGCATCTTCTTTAACAGCATTTCCTTTTCCTGATGGTGATAATGATGACATATTTTGTGTTGCTTCTCACATTTCATTAGATTGTGCTTTCTTATGTGTTATTTAATTCTAAAAACAAGCCAAACTTATGCTTGAATTTGTTGTTGTTATGCATCATTAATAAATGATTGAATTCTTTTTTCTTCCTCAATTAAATCTTGTTCAATTCGTTGAAGTAAATCAATTTGTGCTTTTCCTATTTGCATTGTTTCATCTAAACGAGTTCGAACTCTATCTAAAACAGCTGATTGAACAGAATCGCGATAAATATCTTGAGGAATTTTGCTTGTGGATATCCATATGAATATGATATAGTGGTGAGCGACTCAATGTATTCGAATTTGACAAAAAGGAACTGATTGATTAAACGCTTCAGACATTGTCTGTAATAAATAAAGTAGATTACTATTTGGCTAAAATGAAATTAAATAAAATCAAAAACAAAATAAAGAAATTTGATGTTTTACATGACACTAATATTATATACTATTTGATATGATTTATGAGATAATTCAATTAAGATCATAAAATATTTAACTTTAATCTTTAGTGCTAATTCAAACAACTCTTTCTGGTAGTTTCGATCAGGTTCTTTTTTCCTTGTATCCGGTTAAAGTGATCGCGACAATATAAAGAACTCAAAGGTGTTCTCACATATCTTTAGTTGTACTAATTAAGATTACGTACATAGATTACCTAGGTCGTACACATATTCAGAAAATCACAAAGACTAAATTGAATATTTCTTTTACTCTTTGTCTTAGACTAATCTGTTAAAGTAATAATTAGTACTAAACACAATGGTGATTTCCTAATCTTGTACAAAATTGAAATTGGGAATGGTATATCTCTCATAATTCCATATGTGAGACTATAATTAATTCTGTTGAGCAAAATGTCACTCACGAGAAAACACTTCAAGGTATGCGCAGCCTTTTCAGCTGATATTTTGTCAAATATTAGATCTTGGTAAACTATAAAAAGTCTCGAACAAATTTGTATCCATAGGTTTTTCTTGCTGAGTTTGACATCTTTTGAGTGGTCGCCATCTAGTTGCAAGTAATGGCAAATACTTTTTGTTTGTTATTAACAAGTAGAAGACTCTAAATTTTTTTGAAAGTGAACTGAATGATAATTTGATTATACTTGTTTTTCCAGAGATACAACCTACGGAAGTTCGCAGATAATGAATTTTCAAAATTTTCATTATCAATTTCTCATAGAATGAAGATATTTATCGTACTGTGAAATAATGTATAGTCAGTTTCATATGAAAATCATGAAGATGAACAATTTATGTTCTAAAGAAAATTATGCCGAAGAAAACAAACGTTATAAAGTCTAGTTTAATCTATTGCTGACTTAGTTCATACGCCAAGAAAAAAATAGTCTCCTTAATTTGACTAGTATTGAAGACTGTGCATGTGTTATTCTTTTTTGTACCTCATCTAGAGTCTAAATAGAATATTAGACAAACAAAATAAATGATAGAAAGAGATACTAGAGAGCTATGCGTACATTAACATATAATCAACATATCAAAAGCATTACTTCTTCAAAAACAAAATAGACACTTATACATATATGTATATGAGAGTTCTATCAATTTAGAATACCCTTTAATTTTCAAAGATTCGATTATTATATTTTACACTTTTAGTAATTCCAAAAACACGAAATTCACAGTCCTAACTTTTGATATTTTTGAAAATCTAATCAACAGTTACATAGATACCTCTCAAATATATTTGATATCCTTCGCTTCTGTACCAACTTGTTCAGTTTTGACTCATCTCTTTGCCGGTAAAACCTTATGAATCGTCTTTAAGATGTTTACCACAATTTACGAGATATGAGCATAGAGAATAAGATTCCTATACTTTCATACTTCTTGTAATATTTTACAGTCAACGTCTTCCATAACGAACTCTTATACAACATACATAGTAAATTAAAAAGCTCGAACCGTATTACTGGATTTTATCTTTTAGAATATAAGCAGCTATAACATGTGCCGCATTTGAATTCCATAGAGAGTATTCTAGCACCTTTTATATATTGAAAAAATATAGGCGATCATCCATTAAGAACGTCCAGGTAAACGTCGCACATTTGAATCCCTACCCTCCCTAGTGGCATCCTTACTCAGCCTTATGATGTTTCGACAAAACTCTGCTCCTTCTTTTATGTAGACGTTCATTATGAAGAAAAAAACATTTAGAAAAAAAGTCTGATTGTTCAAATATACTGCTTCGTTTTTATTAAATCATCGTTAATTAAATGAATATAAAAAAAGGGTGTGGGTGTGGGTGTGAGTCATCTATTCGTATCCACATCAACACGTACACTCCCACCAACTTCACACCCACACCCACACCCACACCTACACTCGCACCCCACACCCACCCCACACTCACACCCTTAAATAATAATAATCTGAAAATACTTCACTTTGGTTATGTGTTACAATAACAATCGATGTGTAGATACGGATGTTCATTTTTGTTTCAATCCCACTCTCATCGTCATTTTTGAATCGGATGTGAAACAAAGTCATCCGTTCAATTCAAACTCGGGTATTCGCATCCATTAATAATGCATTGATACATATCTTGAAAAATAGCATCAACAGCAATGCAACGTCACTACTGAAAACGTAATTGCACCATCACATTCGACTGACAGAATAAGAACACATTCTGACACTATAAAGAAACGATGAGTTTGACTCTGTTCTGTGGTTACTTCGCAAATAAAGCCTCATTTCCTATAGTAGTCAACTGGCACTTGTCTACAAACAGCCACGAACGCAATCCGACTCATTTGTATTTTTATGAATTTTTGTTTTCCTGTTTTTTTTTCTAGTTTTTAACACTTGATCGAACTGGCGTCTGAGATTTAATACGATCCGGCAAAGCACACACGTCTACCAAGAAAATCACGACCTATGGTGAGACTTGCTATTCAAACAAAATTATTATTAAATTTCAATTAAACCCCTTATTACTTGTCTCGGCACACTAATCCGCCATTATTGTATCTCTTGTCTCATTCTCACTAATGTGTCCACGTTCGTCTTCCGTACTGCTCATTCAAATAGTCGATTTGATCAGTAATTTCAATTCGATATGACGGTATCTGAGGGTGTGGATGTCGTGATCGTGTGTATAAAGCGAATAGTATCATCAAAAATATCACATATTTCTTTTTCTA